TCGTCTTTCTTGACAGACTCCTCATGTGAAGGAGAGTTCCAGGTGAGGATAAATAACCTTAGCTTAAAGCTGAACACTCAGCATCTCTTAGGGCCTTTTTCTAGATGCCAAAATGGTTATGTATCCTTGAGCCTATGATTTGAATCCTCATCAGATAATACATATATGGTATTAAACTAGGTGCTTCCATTAGTAAAGTTTCCCCCTATGATTAGTGGATACATATAATGCACTACACCACGGATTGGGCAAACTTTCTTTGTAAAGGGCCAGAGAACTTTAGGCTTTGTGGGTCATGCAGTCTCTTCTATAGCTCACTTCTACCTGTATTGTGTGAAAGAATCCACACTCAATACTGAAACAAATGGATGTGGCTGTGAGCCAATAAAACTTAAAACCATTTGGATCTGGCCTACTGGGCATCGTTTATTAGCCTCTGTGCTAGAACTGGAGCAGACTGTAATTCAAGTAATCAAGAATTTTTTAAAACAATCTCATGTAGTTGGCCTTAGTGATTTCACTTTGTAGGCAATGAAAATGAGGCTAGGTCAGTGAGGTGGCTCAGTGGGCAGACACTTGTAGCTGATCCTGATGACCTGAGTTCAATCCCCAGGAAACACATGGTAGAAGAAAAGATTCCTGAAAGTTGTCTTCTGACTTACACACACACACACACACACACACACACACACACGCATGCACACATATACACGCACACCCCAATAAATAATAAATGTAAAAATGTTTAAAAAGTCAATGAAACACAAAGAAATTTAGAAACATACACAGAGTCTCACAGCCAACATACGGCAAAGCTAAGACCCAAACCTTCACAATCTCTACCCTACTGCAATGTAAAGGGACTTTGTACTTTCCTACAGACACATGACCTCTTTAAATGAAAATTCTTCTTTAGTATTTTTAAAATTTATTTTTAGTAAAGTTTACTAGTATTTGCAAAAAACCCTACAGCATAGAGAAGTATACAAAGAATGAAAAAAGTTGATTTAAAATTCAAATTTCTCTGCAGGATAACC